AATAATGTTTGAAATCCAGCTATGTCATTGTGGAGTTTCACTATTCGAAAGCATGAAAAAACTGATGCTTCTTAAGTCAACCAAGGAATGACACTCTCGGCTGACTGCTACTGAAGTATCACAGTAGTATTTATAAGTAATTCAACAATATCTTTTGTTGTATTCATTATCACTGCTCGAACAAATCAGTTTTTTAGCGTCTTGATTAGTTTTCATTGCTAGTCCACTGATAAAAATGCCAATGAAATGATTCTTCGAGCAAGATTTAGAGTGAATCTGGATGCATTAGAAGAATTAATACCTGTCTCGTGATCAGAGAAGTAACCTGCAACAATTTATTTTGTTGACTGTCATTTCAGTTAGTATACAATTGATTCAACGATATACTCAGTAACGTTTACGTAAGATGATAAATGTATTTATCACATGCTGATAAACAATGACTCATCCTTGAAAATAAAGCGCAACTCATTTGATTCAAATATTCGATAGAAAAAGTGAAGCAGATATGTCAAATTATTGTGAAAGCATTCAAGTACCGACAGGTGTTTGGTAGTGACATTATTGGTAAGAGAGTAAACCTGGATTTTGGGAAGGAGTTTGTTCGGATGAAGTTGGAGGTGCGGACGCACCACCATCCACTGAACCTAACGCTTCATATGCTTCACCCATTCTTTGCAATTATCACCTGCAAATCAAACAATCTTCTTGACAGTTCAGCATGCTCATTTACAACAGATTCACTCTGAATTATCCAAAGATATTTCTCGTTCAAAACTTCTGCTCTTTAAATCAAANNTTAATACAATTTTTAGATGTTATCGACATGAGATTACTTTGCATAATGCATTTTGCATCTATGCAAGTTCATCTAGACGAATCAGTCTGTGAAATATTCTCGATGGACAGTCATTGCTTGGTTCAGGAAGTGTATTCTGCGGTTGTTTCTCACCAGGACCGCAGAAGGTAATAATTTAAACTATCTGATATGGTAGTTTTTTCAGTTATTGCCTCCGATCTGGTGATGAGATTTCGACCATTCGCAATTCTGCAAAATTATTTCAGAATGACACAAGTGAATTGGAGCTTTGCATTTGTGATACTATCATTTTATATTGGCTTTGAGAACACCAACGCTCAGATTCATTCAACCAAGCATTCTAACATCGTCAATATATTCGTTGAAAATGGTACTCGAGCTGATTTCCTCCAGGAGGTACATAAGTACATCTCGATTCATATACATACTCTCATCTCTTTTCGCATTCGTGATAGATCTTATGACCTTTACGCTGATTTGAATCGCCACATTCAATCGAAATATGATGAAATAACGATGTTGCCATTCAGATTCGAGATTACTTCGCAGTCAAAGCAAGGCAACCTTCTAATGTTATTCATACGAACAATGCGTCTATATGTTCCTCGAACAATCAACTGTTCATTACTGATCGACTTTCAAGATCTGATTCTATTATTGTTCTCCTTTCACGGTTACCATTATCATTATTACTTGCACGATTACCACTAGAATTATTATTACACTTCACAGTTGAATACTACCGCTCGTGAAAAGCATTCAGCTTAACTTTCTGGTGTTCAAACATCGATTTAGATGAGTAACGTTCTTTCTTCGACAGCAGTTGTTAATCGGTGAAAATTTGTTTTAAAAGGTGAATTAACTGCTCAGAAACTGATAATTTATGGATTTGGTAGATTTTGTTGTTTGGTCAGATGGACATTAAGATGAAAATTTTACGTAATAAACAATAATTTTCATACAGATTCAGTTGATTGCCGTCACATTTGCCAGGAGATTTTTAGGATCGATTTTAATAACCGTTCTCATTGTAGACAACCATATAAACGTTGCACCGTATCGATAAAATACGGTGCGATACTACAATTCTACGAAAATCATCCTAATGAAACGCAACTCTACATCATATCCTCTAAACAAAGCCATCANGTTGATCGCTGAGTTTGTTTTGCTCATGTTTTACGCATGCATCTTCGCTTATCCAAATGAATAAGCATTCACAACTTCTCATTGTCAGTGTAATAAGCTGAATGTTTCAGTTTTCATAAAACAAACTGGCACACTGATTTACGTCGTTTGTTGGATACTGCGTACTCATCGCTACGAGAAGTAGTTCGTCATAAACGGTGAGTTCATCATTTCCAGCGGAAACACAGCTGTTCATCAAAAAGAATAGATGAATATTGTGATTAAAATTTTGTGAATTTTAGTGGAGCAAACAATGGGAACGAGAGGGACCAATCAACTATTCCGGTTAGAATCAATATAAGTCCTCAGTTCTATACTTCAAAAAGCGCTTGAATTTGAACGCAAATTATGGTCGTCATGTAGTTAATTTGGCTTCAGAAAAAAAAAAAGAGCTCCGATGAGTTGGATTCAAACTTGAGCAAAAGCCGAATTCTGATGATCCGTCTGAGCAGTGGCTTAATAAATCACAAGAATAGTTTTTCAAATCGTTTTCACAACTGCATTCCACGAGTCATCTTCTCACAACGAACCAAGTGGAAACTTTTCCTTCAACTTCTACACTCTATCATATTTCTCAGTGGTGTAAACTTGTGTTCAGTCGTAAACTCTTT